ATATATATATATATATATATATATATATATATATATATATATATATATATATATATATATATATATATAATCAGAAAATAATTTCAGCGGATTTTAATAACCCGTATGTCATATTCTCAAAATGTCCCATCTACAAACAAACACTAAAATGCTCTAGAGGTCATTTGATTGCTTGACGTGTTGAATTTTGTGTTTTTCTATTACATGCATATAGGTACATGGGGATCAAAATCCAAACTGAGAGACGGGAAACAGATGATGAAGTACGGAGGAAATCCTGATGTGTGGACCAGGGAAAGCAGGGGGTGTTCGTGTAACTGTGCTGTTCATTTTGCCTTAATCCATTATCATCATTTAATGAATGCATCCAAAATATGCCCATTTTCCCACCTTGCAGTAGAAAAGGATAGAATTTTCAAATGTTTCCCCTGATGTTAAAAAGTAGCGGGGTCCACAGATGGGTCCCACGCTGGGAGCCAGACCCGACGGACGAAAAAATCCGGTGGAAGTTGCTCCAAACGATCTCGAGATTCGTGAATTTCCATCTCGAATCAACGGGAAAGCACGTGTCCATTCTCTTACGGTCAGCCCCAGCTGTTCCAACTTCTAACAATTTGTTGGTCTCGCTCCCTGTTGTCTCCAGCTGGCGCAACCCGGTCGGACATCTAATTAATAAACATCACCTTTACCTCTTTCTGTTTACCCAGCTTGCGTGTCGTTGAGGCTATTGGAGAAGCTTCGTAGGCCCACGTCACATGTCAGTATGCTAAAGAACTTCAAGGTACGTGAAGGCGGGTGGACACACAATTAATAGGTACCTTCCCGCTCAAATTTAGAATTGCACAATTACCCATCCTAAAGTGGGTCCGGGTTCTGTGCCGCTGCGTGACCAACCAATATCCTAGGCTTCACATTTTCAGAAAAGAAAAGAAAATAAAATAAAATCCAACGAACGACCGAAACGTTTACACCAGTGTCGTTGGGCTCCACGCCTTGTCACCACACCTCCACCCATCGGCATGATGCTTAGTGTGGGGACCACGACGGCTGGGGCTGCGTACCCATCGCGACGAACCGACGCCACTAACGCACCGACGAGACCACTTGCCTGCGTTGTGGGGCCCGAGAGTTTGGCCGCCAACCGAGAACAACCACCCACGTGGGTACCACTCCCCCACGCCGGAGGGCCGCCCCACTGGGTTGGTTCCCCATCACGTCCCCCTTATCCGAGTTCGTTTTCGCTACGGAAGCATCCAGGACCCACGTCGTGTAGTGGTGAGCCCCGCCTACAAGTAAAGTGACTTGACAAAGGGGAGAACGCCAAGTAACATGGACCCTACAGTTGGTGCCCTACTTTGGTGTGCCATAAAAGAACGAGAAAATACGGGTGTATCCTCGCAGGAAAAGTTCGAGGAAGTTTCTCTTGGTAGAGCAAAAGTACTCTAGTTATGCGTCAATGAATTACGCCACGACGTACCTCATCTTTATTGGGAGTTATCGGTGGAGCCCACAAGTGTCCCGTATCCCAAACTAGCTAAGTGAGTTGGATGAGTCTGACGGGGGTAGGAATAGATGGGTATCGCGGCATGGGAGTCTTTGTCCGCACGCCGACCCCGGCTTTGGCTTCCGAAAATTAATCAGGATACCGGGGTTCACCAAATTCCCCGAATCAACCCTCTCTGTCACCCTTAATCTTGACCAAAGTGGACCCGTCCAATTCGACCCCTGTCTTACCCTTGGTCGTGACCCCGGTGGACCCTACTCGGCATCCGACGGCTGGTACAGCGTGGACAAGGGTCCCACTTTAGAACAACGGTCGACGTGCCGTAGGATGAAGATAAAAGAACAGGGGTTGAGCTTTTAGGGTTTCGATCCATCTCGTCTTTTGGTGCGTGGGAAGTGTGGGTGCGATCTCTTATTTTTGAGGGAAAGAGAAAAGTTGTGAGCTTTTTCGAAGAAGCGAAGGCGGAGACATGGAATCCCAGACGCACGGCGAAGAGGACCGACGGCGGAAGACTGACCTAGGAGCAGGAGGGGGAGGAGGAGCTGTCCCGACGCCCGCGGTCATACCGGTCCACCGATTCATCGTCCCCAAACCAGAGCCGATGGAGATGTTGGGGATGAGGGCATTCCAGATAATGCGGAGGCCAGCGAGCCGAACCAAGGATCGGCACACGAAGGTGGAAGGCCGAGGAAGGAGGATCCGAATGCCGGCGGCGTGCGCCGCCCGCATCTTCCAGCTCACGCGTGAGCTTGGCCATAAGTCGGATGGCGAGACCATACAGTGGCTTCTGGAGCACGCCGAACCAGCGATAATTGCCGCCACAGGCACCGGGACCGTCCCCGCCATCGCTACTAACATCGGCGGTACCCTCAAGATTCCCACCGAGGCCCCGACATCCGCTCCGGTAACCTCCACATCCACCCCCTCGGCCGTGGACGACGCAGCGTCGGCTGACGATGAAGGAGCGGGCAAGAAACGGAGGAAGAAGCTCCAGCCGTCGCGGACAGGCGGCGGCACAGTGATCGCCGGTTACTACCCCGTCCAAGACCCTTTACTTCCGGTGGGGGGTGCGATCTCCATATCCTCGGGCCTGGCGCCGACCGCGGGAGGGGCGCAGGGAATGGTCCCTGTGTGGGCGCTCGGAGGCGGCGCAGCTGCGGCTAGCGTAATACCGCCGGGGGCGCTGTGGGTGCTGCCGCCGCCGTCCGCCACGGCGGGCACGTCGAGCCAGTCCCAGGCTTGGACGTTTCCTCAGGCGCCCCAAATCGTCAATCTTGCGACGTCCCGACCGATCTCCACCGACGCGCTGTTCTCCGGCGGAGCACACGGCGTCAACGTTGCCACCACGGCAGGAGGGAAGCATGAGCTGCAACTGATGTCTGCTTCCGGTGAGCCACTACGCGGTCAAGCACATGAGCTAGACGTGGACGACGAAGACGAGGAGATCGAAGAGGACAGCAGCGAAGAAGATTAAAATTGGATGTAGGATTTTACGAGGAGAGGGCTTCTTCTCCCTCCTCTACTTTTTCCGTACTTTTTTTTTTTTTCTTTTCTTTTCCATCTCTTGTTCCCTCATGTTTCTACCTCCTCGTCCCCATTTGTTGCTGGTACTTGATGTATCGTTCCATTCAGTTGCATAACAAAGCACAGTCGCCTGCAGCCATGATAAACCATTCTTCGTGCGAGTGTAGTGCTGCTTCGATGCAGGTGGCGGCGAGGGACCGGGTCCGTTGCAAGGGAGGAGACGACGTGGTGCGAGGCTGCGCCTCTAGGTAGGACGCGGGACCCACTCCTCCTTTTTCTCTTCCTTATCCAAAACCGTGGACGGGGCACTGTTCCGCACGCGCGCACTGGCGTGGGATCACCACGCATTTTTGTTTGGTGCCTTACGTTCCGCCGACCAATTAAACTAGGCAGGATGGGGGCCATTCAAGGTGGGCGGGGGCATCCATCACTTTGTCGCCTTCAGATTTGCACCAAATGTGGTGGTTACGTTAACCGGATCTTCCCGTGAAATCAACTACCAGCCGGCCGTATTGTGAGTTAAGCTTTTGTCTTGTTTGTTCTGTAACCTGCTTATCGTCGAGTCGACGGGCATCCATGGATTCGTCCCTGCAGCAGGATCTGGATTATCCCCACCCAGTTACTGATATGGTATCTAACGCTGAGTGGAATTACAGCAAATTGCAAAAGTTTTATTTGGATCTTTCCCATGCAATAGGATGACGAGGAGGGTTCCACGCACTGAGGACAGACACTTGGGGTTTGGGAGGCATGATGAACGTGATAGAGCAACTGCGAGGTCAGTTTACAGGCTCCTTCTCCTCCATCTTTATTTAGTTTGAAATGGGTGATAATGTCTTTGATAGTTTTAATCACACCTATAATGAAGTTGTTGGGTTTGTAAGTTGCTACGCTGCCATCTTTCAACTTTTGACTGGTTGAAAAAGGCTAGGGATGTATAATAAAAAAAGATGTGGCTCTTCTTATTATTATCTTGGGACAAAGTTGCTTTTCCGTGTGGCCTCTCTACTAAGTTTTGGAGGCTTATTCAAGATCGAATGAATATTAAATTTTAATTCTTTATATACCAACGTAGGGATGCTTAGGTTAAAGAGGGCTCTGATGTGTTCTTGTTACAGCTATTGATTGTCGTAGGCTTCTTGGGTGGTCTGCTCATATGACAAGTGATGGGATGCAGATTTCTTTTAAATACAATCCTAACCCTAATGCAGGTGCTAGAAGAGAGGACAAAAAATAGTTGTTATAAGCTATGGAGAAAATTAGAGGACTTCATACGAGAAGAAAAAAGGTTCAATGATTGGATAGTCTATTCTGGTTCGATTTGTATATTGGTTAAGAACATGTTGAGTTGATATGAAAAGATAAAACCAATATGATTGAGTTTATAAATGACTTTCAAGATCTTCTGAATTACTTGAAATTAAAACTTTATTGATCGATGAGTTGGTGGATTTGTATTCTCCTTGGCACCTTTGCTTGATAGTTGGAGAATTTTAATAGGAGCTCTTGATAATTATAATCTTAATAATAAGTTTTCTATGAGTGCAATGAAAAAACATAAGAAAAGAGTTGTTATAGAAAGGAGTAAGAGACAATATGAGAAGCCCTAAAAATTTTAAAATCATGATATATTAAGATGAAGGCTCAAATCCAAATCAAAAATGAAATATATCATTATGTAAATTAAGCTCAATGAATCTACTGGTGATATATGGTCTAGTGAGATAATAAACCTACTAACTTTGTTAAGCTTGAACCAATAGTATAAATTTCTTAAGCCTATATTAGTAGATATATACCTGTTAGACTGTAAGTCGATGGAATAATCTTGAAATATCAATGTTTTAATTAGCTATGAATATCTTGTTTTGTTCATTAGAAAAATATGAATTTAAGAAAATCTCAACTTATGATACTACACGTGAAAATGAGTTCAAGTAGCTACAACTATGAATAATTTATTTTATTTTTTTTATAAAGAAAATAAACTTAAAAAATATGTTTATGAGACTAAATATAAAATATGAGTGACATTTAGACTCACATGATAGAATGCTACTTCTCAGTATGCCCTTTACTATGTTAACTCTCATACCAATTATTAGCGTCAATGGATTAAAATTGTTTAATAAAAATTACTCTATAATTGAATTGACAAGTAAAGTCACTTACAAAAAGTTGGGATCTAGAAATGATTATAATTCAATAAGTCAAAGATATAAGTGATCTTACACTTGAAGAACTCAAAGAGCTATTGATATTATCCATCAGACCCATATAAATCAATCCAAATTCTTATTCGCTTTTGATGTAAGACTAAATGGGAGTGTTACATGTATATTAAATTTATAGATATTATCAATGGATTAAAATTGTTTGATAAAAATTACTCTATCATTGAATTGGCAAGGAAAGCCACTTACAAAATATTAGGATCTAGAGATGATTGCAATTTAGGAAGTAGTTAAAGATACAAGTGATCTTCCAATTGAAAAACTCTGAGTTATTGATGACGAAGAAGAAGAAAGCTTACTCAATTAAAAGAAGAAAGGGACATTTAAGGCAATATGAAATAAATCTAGTGAATCAAAAGTAGAAGAATGATCCATTAGATTAGTGACAAAGTACCTTTATAACCTTTGAAAATAAGATAAGTGACCGATCTGAAATTTCTTTATCACATACAAGCATTTTATAAAATATATAATGAGCTAAAAATAGTTTGTTTAAAAATATAGTCATGATAAATAAACTCTAGACCTTGATAAATCTAAGTCTACATATTGTAAACATGCATTAATTATCTTTGATACCTTTTTGTTTTAATTGATTGGCTTATTGTTCACTTTAAGAGTCTATTAACCATCTCTATCAACTCGACTACCTTAAAACCAAGTCTTGTTTATATAATTAACAAAGTATTAAGGTGAAAAGAATTATAATAAGTAAAAAATGATAGTAAGAAAAGAGAAAAAAGAAAGAAAAAAAGAGGTGACTTACCATCATCTAGTGCCTCAAGACGATGTTGGATCCCAAGTTCTTGATCTTGAGTATTTTCTTTGGAAGCACTCATTAATCTATTGAGTATCTTCATAAGATAAGATTGAAAAATAAATTAAATCAATTCTATTAGAAATAGGAAAGATACTACAAGGTAAACTTAAATTACTTGAACCAACCAAGCCTCATCCATTCCTTGAATTATCGAGAAAATTTTTAGAATTTTAACAAGCTTCTCAACTTGCTCATAGTTGATTAGCCCTGTAGCTCTTTAAGGAGTATAGAGGCTATCAATATTGTCTATGGGTGAGTCCTAACATGTTTGGGAATGCACTTTTTTTTTTTAACTTTTATAATGCTTAAGGCTCCTCGAAGCCTAAAATAAGATAGAGCCATGACCAACTAAATCTTGGTTGACTAGCACATTTTCTAATAGTGTTAAAAGATAGTATAAAAAAAATGACACACCTAAATAGGAATTTGATGCAAACTAAATAGGAGCTATTCATGAATAATGAAGCATTTCACCCTAAAAGGAATGTGTAAAAGTCAAAACCCGATATTAAATATATTCAAGGCTATATTGGCTCATATGCATGTTGCTTGACAAGAGAGCTACTAACTAGTATATGAGAGTAATTAGATACTTCTCTTGGTAGGTGTTTGTATCAACCTCCTAAATCTTGGAGCCTTAAATCGTCCCATCTTATAAATGTACATGTTGATCTTCTCTATGCCTATATTTTATAGAGAAAACGAAGTTACAACATCTTAGTCTTTTGACATGGAGGACAGTTAACACCTTTGAGCGAGATAATTCAAATCCGACTCTTTTAGGTGAAGTTATGAGGATCAATGTCCTAAACCCTTAGATATATAAGACATTAGAATTTCGTAAAGATAGACTCATACTAAAGTAGCCAATGCTTTTACAGTTTAGCTTCTCATTGATAATAGACTTTGCTAGCATAGTAAAATCATTACAAGGTCACGATTCAAAGGATACAAAACTATTTTGATACCATATCACTCTCAAATCATAATTGCATGTTCGATATCAAAATAAAAAATATTCTTTATAATCATATAGATTCAAGGGCTCTTTTATAATGATATATTATCCTTTTCATTTGCTTTTCTTTGATATATTATTATTCTCTTCACACTACATAAAATTCTCTCCTTATAAAGGGAGATAAAGATAAGTTTGTACTATCCTATATTTAAGACTTAAGAATCGAAGAAGAATTAATCGAGAAGCTTCTACTAGCTTTTGTTTTATAATTTCTCTTGTATTATATGATGCTCATTTTCTTTTACATTATGCCAATAACCCTAGATAAGATCCTATCGTAACTTGTTTGGTGGTGTCCATTGATACACTTGAGAAAATGAATAAGGTTGATTCCACTAATGCTCCATTGGATGAATAATCAAATTTTGACTATATCAATTGAGTTATATCAGCTCCGATTCAATCTATCCGTTGAAAACTAGATGAGTGGACAAAGGATGGGAAGATCAAACCACTATAAATTAATTTGCATTCATTCTTTTGCTTGTGACTTTTATTTATGATTGTTTATTTATTATTTACTTTACTGGTATTTTTTACTCGCACTCAATATTTGGATAATTGTGTTGTTAATACAAATTTTTTGATCAAGTATTAAAGTTAGTTAAAATTTACTATAATACTAATTCACCCCCTTGCCCCCTTAGTGTTATTAAGATCTTAACAATAAAAACTTAAACAAGAGCTCAAACAACCCCTGCCTTAGATGCTCCATCTACAAAGAAGAGCTCAAACAAGACTTTAAACTATCCCTACTTCATAAACTCTATCTATAAGAATAAGAGCTCGAACAAGAGCAAAAAGACCTAAACTTTGTTGAGAAGTGGAATATAAATGGTTGAAGTTTTATTGATCATTTCATATATTTTATAATGAGTTCTACATCATGGTCTATAAGGAAAATAGAATTGTTGACATTAAAGAATGTACATTAAGACATGATAATGTTGGCTCTATTTTTCTATTTCATTTAGAATCTAGATATCTCATGTATTTTGGAGTGTTCTATGAGCATGTTTTTTTGTTTGCCCCAATTTCTCCAAATGCTTATTCATGCTTATTTT